TAGTGCCGGCTCTAATTCAAACCGGCACTAATGTGCTTCACGTTTGACCCTTTTTCTACTAGTGATCGTCGTCGATCTGCTATAATAAAGGGTCACCAAAACTGCCCTAGAACTATCGTTTTAATTAATTAATTTACCACTTCCGCTTCGGTACAACTCCCCTAAACACATCAACGGAGGAGATCTTTTGATACCCCTTCGTAATAAAGGGTTGGATGGTCTTTCTTAAAATACGTCCCTCGTGCTATAAAATTAAAGACAGCCCCGACAAAGTCCGCCATGGGCCGGTCCATTAGTGAGTGTATACTGTAGCGGGGCATCGAAAATCAAAAAACAACGCAGGCTACTAGGGATCGAGATCTTTTGATATCCCTTCGTAATAAAGGATAGGATGGTCTTTCTTAGAAATACGTCCCTCGCGCTATAAAATTAAAGACAGCCCCGAGAAAGTTCGCCATGGGCTGGCTTATTAGTGAGTGTATACTGTAGCGGGGCATCGAAAATCAAAAAAACGACGCAAGCTACTAGGGATCGAACACACAACCACGATGTTTGGTGAACAGGACGCTGGCCAGTCGGACAAACAATATTTGGTGACACATATGCCGCGCCATATTACATCAAATAGAATTGACGTACTGTAACTAGATTGTTTTTTCTCGGACGAATTTTTTGGAAAACCGGTCGAAACCGGATTTTCCGTTACCCCCGAGAAAATACGCTACCGGACAATTTTGTTTTTACAATATTCGAATTTGATCTGTCCAAATGATCATATAAGATACCTATGCAAACTATTACTATTCAGATGATTTGGCGTACTTGTTGTTTGTGCCAGTAAAGGCCACGAGGGGTAAGGATCTAGCTCCTACTATTGCACTTTAATTTTTAGTAGCTTTTTTCCGTCCGGTGGGCTATTCGCGTTTAAATCAAAGCAAAAAGAAATGGGTGACTGCAAGGACTCAATCCCAGCAAGTCCGTGGAAGATGTGTCGCGTACTGACAAACACAAACATTTAAAAAAAAATCGAGCATTGAAACCACAAACTTTTTTCCAAATTACGAACATTTTCTGAATACATGTTTTTGTTTTGTAGGGCATAAGCTATTTTTTGTTCTCTATTTTTTGGTTCTTCTTCTCTTTTTTGTTAATTCATTTTTCTCCTTCTTGAACTTTATTCTTCTTTTTGGAACCTGTTCAAACATTTGAAATTTTGTTTAGAATACCAGATCCTTTTTTCCAAATATAGTTTACAATTAGACAATATGCTATGGAATTTCACAACATGTCCGTTTTGGATTTTTAGTTCACAAATTTTAGAAATGTTTGCATTTATTAAAAAAAAGATGAATTTAAAAAAAATTACAGGTTTTACAATTTTCATCAATTGTTGCCATTTCGTTACAATTATGGAAAAAAAAGTGTTCAAGTATGTAATTTTTCATATACAATTTGAAATTTCAAAATTGTCGAGAAATTTCAATAAATGGTTAGGACATAAGAAAATCTTCATGTTGATTGATAATGACAAAATTGCAATTAACAGAAGCAACCAATTAGGAAAAACAACATGCTCAGGGAGGCCTTGTGTGGCACACTCTTTTCAAATGGTGTTTCTTTGGATTATGGATAAATGCTCCCAACTTCTTGAAGCAGCCTACCACAAACATATGAGCCATTCATGTCAGGTATTAATAAGTTCCGACGCGGTTACTTCTGGCCATTTATCAGCCCTTGTCACCAAGAAAACTTCAAAAAATGCAAAACTTGTCAAAAATCCAAACAACTTGGCATGACGCATTGTTGGTCATAGAAGCTGGACGAAAGCATTTGGACCATTTGACAGTCGTCGAAAAAAAATGTGCTTTCAAATGAACCCGAACACCCTTCGTCGAATACCGTCTGTTTTTGGACATCTTAAAATGACCCAACTTTTGCAAGAAGGTGGGATGCCCACGGTAGGCATGCATGCAAGGTTGAACGACTTTCATCAGTGTATGCAAGTTGCGACACATCCGGCCATTTATCGGTCTTTTCTAACCGAGAAAACTCCGAAAAATGCAAAATTTGTCGGAAACCAAAACAACTTGACATGATGCCTTGAATTGGTCATATAAGGACATCAAAAAAATTAGGTTCATTTCAAGGATGTCGAGAAACAAGCATGCTCTCACAAAGAATCTTCTGGGCCTACCCAACCACCCTCCGTTGAACATGGTCGTGTTTTGGACATTCTTCAAATGTTCCTAAATTTTGTCAGCGGATGTTTACGCCCATGGTAGGCACCTATGCCATGTTTTAACGAATTCTGACACCGTTTGTAAGTTGTGTCATGCTCTCACGTGTTTAGGCCGGCCATTTCTGCAGATAGCGTAGGAACTACCCTTCTAGTTTTGTAATTTTTATTTTACAGTGTTTCCAGTTATATTCTCTCTTTTTCCTTTTTTCTTTTGCTTTCTGTTTTTTTCATTGTTTTTGTTTTTTGTTTATTTGTTATTTTTATATTTATTTTTCTTTGTAAAAATGTTTGTGACTTTTTTTTCATAAATTTCAAAAATATTTTTACGTTTTAAAAAGTTGTTTAGTATTTAAGAAATGTACATGTTTTTCCAGAAAAATCATGTTCTCTAATTTTTTTTCTGATTATTAAAAAGTGATGCCGTGCTGGAGTTTAGTCAAACTCTAAAAACATTCACGTTTTCTCAAAAAATCGGAAAATTCAGAAAAAAAATTCTTCTTTAAAAATTTAATAACGACTTCTAAAAATATTTATTTATTAGTTTTTTTATTTAAGAAATGCTCGTGTTTTCATATTGTTTTCATAAGTTCCGATAATATACGACGATTTAAAAAATGTTCTTGTTTTCTGAAAACTGTTCACACTATGAAAAAATGTCCTGTTTTCATATTTTCTCAAAACTAATTCTTTTTGGGAATTTCAGAAACTGATCGCTCTTTTGAAAAATTCAATATTTCGAAAATGTTTCTTTTAACAGGTTTTGTTCTCTAAATTCCAATTTTTTTGATTTTTTCAGAAAATGTTCAGGATCTAAAAAATATATGTCAAAAAAGGCACTTTTTTTAAAATAATTGTGTCTTGAAAGTTTATTAGAGTGGTTCAGACAACTGTCGGATTTTCAGACATTACTTGCGTTTTAAAGAATTTTCACAATTTCCAAGAAAAGAGAAAGAGATTCAAAAACTGGCCAGATTCTGTATAGTACAGTTCTTTAACGGGCGCGCTCAGTTTTTGAATCAATGTCTCGCATCATGCCGGCAGGTTGTTCCATCGGCTAGACAAAAATTTTAAGAGCTGTTACGTACATCCAATGTTACCCATGCATACAAGACACGGTATTCAATTAGCGTTGATGGGACGTTATTATTAGTGGGGGTTTCTCTCCTCGGTTCCTTCTGCTAAAGTTTGTGGTGCAACTGCGCGTTATATGCATGAGCAGTAGCTATCCTGGCAACACCAAGATGGGGATGTAACATTATGGTGTACATGTCCATCACAGATCAAAAGGTTATTTGACATGTATAAATGAAAATCGAACTTACGGTTGGAGCAGCATGCGTGGTACAATGCACGCGTCGATTTTTGGAGATGCTAACATTTGTTTGGCCCACAAGCACGTGGTACAATGTCCTCTGTCTGAATAAAACATGAGCAATCATGACAGTTAGCCCAAATCTAGTTGGTGCGACTACTACTTCACTATTTAACTAATTCTGCCAAAGACTAGTGTTAAATACAATTAGTAGCACCCACCTGGCCTTGCTTGTTTAGGATCAACACAAGAATGGAGCAGACGTTAAATAATTAGTTGGTGAGAAGTTGACCACTGTCTCCAATCCTCTCATGCAACTGCCACACCTGACCTCGAGTCCCTCCTCCAAAAGAAGGCACCATAATTGAAAAGTAACACTAGCAATCCTCCTAATCTAATACCAACCTCTTGGGTTAGACCAATCCACAAGAGGCAGGAACCCCGGGGCCCCTGTCTTGTTATATCCGTGTTGGCCTTTTCAGTAGCAACATGCAAATCATCTCCATTGTGGCCTTCCTTATCGTATTTTATCGTCGAAATGTGCTGGAAAAGAGGCAATTATTCTGCAATTTCAGGCTAGGTGAGGAGCTTAGCCTGTGTTTGCTAGTGTAAAGCTAATGGGATGGAGCGTAGATGACTAGTAGAGGCTTTCTTTTTCCAAGTGGCAATGATGGGCTCAATTAGTGTTATCTGCTGGGGCGTCTCATGCAAGCAAGGCTTCTCGCTACAGGTCAAATCTAGGCCTGCACAACTGTTAGTCAGTGCTAATACTGATTACTGAACATCCATTTCAAAAGTACGACTAACTGAACATTAATGATTGTACTTTGTCTTCATGGTTACCGGCTAAACTCTAGCTTCGCCGCCATGCATGCGCTCCGGTCGTATTGTACCACTGTCGTGATTGCTTATGCCGATAACTATCTCGAAAGCTCTGGGTTTTGTAACTTTGTGCAGCGTGTTTGCCCTGTTTTGTGTTTGCTTGTGGCAAGAGGACAATGAGACGCACTCAACTGATCGTACCTGCAGATTGGCGTATGCTAGTTGTATACTCGCTTTGCTTGATTAGTGCAGCAGAGTGTGGCGGCTAACGAAAGGTTCCACCAGTCTTGTTGCCAAAATAAACTAGGAAAAACCTTCACCACAGAGTAGAGAAACAACTAACCAACCAAACGAGTCTTTTCTTTGTGGATTTTCCCTTTTTGAGGAGAGCTTGAAAGTGCCGGGAGCTTTGGTTAAGGGCCCATTCGGGAGGCTCCACCGACTCCTCCCGGGATCAGAGTTCACCTCTAACCGCTGGCAGGAAAGATGAGCAATGTGGATTAAGATCCTCGCCAAAAACTACATGCTGGCTTCAGGTAACCGTCCAAAGACGAGGAAGATTGTATGGGCGCCGCCCAAGGAAGATTTTGTCAAAATCAATGTGGATCCAAGATAACAAACTAAGGTTCATGGCAGCAAAAGGAATGTCAGAATAGATACTGCACTTGATGTTTTATCAGCGGAAGCATTAGCACGGGCTGTTGTTGTTTGCTGAATCCCTAGGCTGCAACAGGATAACCGTCAGTTCAGATATCCTAAATGTCATTACAGCCATGCAAGATGAGATCCATTCTGCAGGGGGTTGCAGCGGCAATCTTCCTTCCTCTCCAGAGACTTTGCCACGGTGGAGTATGTTCATGAATACACAGAAGCAAACACTGTAGCTCACGAGTTGCCGTTCTTAGCAAAAATCATGATCCTGGGACTACATGTTTACATGACCCACCTTCCTCTATTGTACCTCTGCTTATCAATGATGTAACCCTGTTTATGCTGTTTATAAATGAATAAAGTTTTGAGGTCGATTTCAAAAATAATTTTTGAGGTTCCACAAAAATAAAAGGTTCAAGGTCAAAAAAGGAAATTGCTCACAAAGCAGAGCAAAGAAGCCTGATGCTTCTTATAGCTAGACTAGAAAAAGGATATGAACCAACATGAAGATCCACTGGCCTTGCCTACAATAGACTGTCTACAGAGCAGGAATCTGAAAACCTGAAGCTGAGCTGGGCCAGATCAGCATTTTTAAGTCTGTCAACATGAATAGAGTTGCCCAGAAACAACAGAGAACAGCAAGCAAATAAATAGAGGTCCAAAACTGAAAACACAGAGTCAGTACAATCGAAGTTAAGGAATTTCAAACTGATGCAATGCCAATTTAGTTCTCACGTTTCACAAATCCATGATACAGTCTAGTGACTGGTTATAGATGCTGGACGGGGAGCACGACGTATCACAAGACTAATACATGGGTGGAATCAATTGAAACTGGGGCAGATGGGCCCCTTCGACAGGCCAAGGCGAACCTCCATTCCGTGGTGCATGTCCGGTATGCGGAGGCTGTCAGAGTCTTGGGGCACTGCAGAAGTGGCCAAGGAAACAAGAACTAATTAACGCAAGCACCACAGAACATTTCTTAGCAATGTAAACGACACAAGGAAAGGGTTGGGAACTTGCACGGGTAAACTTTGCACTGAAAGCTATTTTCTCAAGTATCGCAGCATAACTCATAAGTGGAAGCACAGATGATAATTGATGTACAGACTGCACTCTTTGCCATGGAAACCATATGCCTGGCTAAGGCAGTTAAAACTAAGGGGCACAAGCTTGGTTGACAAAATTGTGGAACACTTTTTTGCTGGTTATTGATGAGATTCCTCAAAAATAGATCAAGACCCATTAGCTGCCTACCTTGTAAATATAGCTATAATAATGATCTCTGCAGGTATTATATATTCTAAATAAAGCACAAACTCTATGCTAGATGTAACTAGCGAGAAGTACAGAAAATTAGCAAAGAACCATTTTAATAAAACGTATCATGATTTCCCAAGAACTTTGTGTTCCAGGATCAAACCCCATCAGATCAATATAAATTTTACTCGAGTGCGTTCCACTGTGAGCAAAGAAGCTAATGCCCATAACAGCTTCCTAACTCCAACCAATCAATTCATAAGTCATAACTGGCAAGTTTGCACAAAAGCCTGCAAAGTTATGAAGCAGCAAGCAAAAGATTGATGGACAGAAAAGGATGGCAATCCTTACAGTTAAGGTAATCTTCAAATCCAAAATCATCCAAGGAACCTGTCATCGCCTCATATCCTAGCATAGATGATGGCAATGCACCTGGGGGCCTTTGGAACCTGGAAACACAGAAATCATCAATCGAACGTTTTTAATGCAAGGCAGCTGCGAAGTCAAAAGAGCTTATCGCCTATATATTTTTAAGAAAAAAATGAAGACAAGAACAAGCGACGTTCAAAAGTGTATAAACAAAATGGAAATCACTCTGGATCAACTGCTTTAACAAAAGCTTTAATTGACTTTGTCCAGGCTTTGCTAGAGGCTCAAGCCGGCCCTTACATCCCTAACCAGGTAATTGTAGGTATGTCATGTCTCTCTGTTTACTAATGTTTATGCTCTGAAATGAAGTTCATTTAGCAGTATCTAGGACTCTTACTGCCACTGGGATGAATTCAAGAATATCTTGTTTTCTTACAGCATTTTCGGTCTTTTTTTTTATGATTTGATGATGTTGACCACTTTATCTTTTTCATCCTGAATCATATAACATATTATGTTCTGTACTATGATATAGGATGGTCAATTGCAATTGAGCTAGCAGCAGCTCATGGTCAACGTGAGCTTGTTGAAGTTTTATTTCCTAAGACAAACCCAATTAGATCTCTGCCAGTTTAGAGTGTTGATGGGATAATGAATACTGTGAGATTCCTGCATATGTGGAGATGTGATTGCTTTATTACTTCATTCTACCATATATAACCTATATTCCTGAAGCTGCATGATTCGTTTGTATCTCCTATTTGGAACGCAGTAATCCGTTATGTCGCATTCTACTTGACAGAGTGAAAAGTTCACCAGGATATATGCATACTCATGACCTCTGAACATGCATGGACCGACCCATTTCTTGATGTATTACTGAACCTTTGACTGTTTCCACTTTGATATCCATAGAAGAACAAGGCAATTAAACATGATAAATCGGGGAAATTGTTTCCCCCATGGAAGCCTATATTTTCTTCAGAAATTCAAGAACTGGTAAAAGGAAATACAATATCAGGATTGGGAGGACACTGAATCCAGTCATGCAGGCAGTCTTTAGGTATTACCATACTAGGATGGCAGATGGCATACCTAAATAGATAATTATGTATGGAAATTTAGTTGGCATTTTGTTTAACCAAGTTTGCAAAGCTAACAGAGGAAATAATGCATATGCCTATTATTGAGGCTAACATTACTTCAGTTGTCCAACTGTAACACTTGCAGTTGCAGCCCTGTTGGAACCTGTCAAACTGGCCATGGGTTTTGCTGGAAGCCTGATTTATGTTCATGTTATCTTTATTTGTATGCATTTGGCTCAATGGTTTGCATAACCACCCAAACTGATGTGTCCTTGTATGCGTTCAGGGTTTTTTCATCACAGTTTTATTATGCATAATCTTCATGCTGCTGTCCATTTAGTATAATTTTCACTGAATCTTCTTGTTCCTTTGTTGGGCCAGAGTCTTTTATTTGTTTCTGACTGCAGTTGTGCACTCCACTAGAACTAGAGCTTACATTGGCATGCATTCCAGGTACAACTGATAAAGCAATATGCCCCTTGATGTGAGCCTGTACCGAAAACAGCAAGGCCTGCTGCTAGCTACAAGAGCAAACCCGTGTTTCAAACCTTTCTTTTGTTGTTGATGCCATCAAGAAAACAGCAGAGTTTGGCAAAGAGAATCCTACTTACACATTTATCAAATCTACCAGTTCATCGCAATCTGACCCAAAATTCCTCTAGAGGCCCTCGAATTCCAGCGGCCAGATGATGGATGCCGCTGAAGCTGGCCAAAACCTAGAGCGGGATTCTAATTTCTCGGGAGGGGAAAGGAGGGGCGGCGGGGGAGCGAACGAGCTGGTACCTGGAGAGGATCTGGGCGTCGAGATCCCTGCGGATGTTGAAGGCGGATCCGTAGATGGCCTCGGTCCCGAACTTCTTCTTCTCCTCCCAGAACTTGTTCTCCTGCGCAAAACAATCGGATTCAGAGCTAGGGTTTCCGGCTCACGGGGGCAGATCGGGGAGGGAGGGAGGGAGGGTTTACCTTGTGGATGGTGGCCTGGACGGGGTGCGCCGGCGCGAGGTCGCCGCGGACGCTGTCGTTGACGCCGAAGCGGAGGACGTCGTGGGTCTCGCCCAGCTCCTTCTTCGTCATCAGGCCGCCGCCGCTCGCCATCGCCGCTGCTGAGCCTCTTTTTTTTTTCCTCTTTCTCTCTCTGTTGTCTTGGGGTCGAAGAAAGGGAGGGGGAGCCTGGGTCTGGGTGATATATTGTTTGCGGCCGTGTCCGCTGGGCGTCCAACTCGCTTGGGCCGGCCCAGCTACCGCTACGCTCGCACAAAAAAAAAACATCTTGGTTTCTTTAGTCAAACGGACGGCAGTTTTCTGGCAAAAATACACCGAGCACAAAGTTGCCATGGTTACCAACTAAACTTGTCATCCTCGCGTCACTGAAATTGCCATAGAAAACATTTGATTTGCCATGGTCAAATCCCAAACATTCGGGATTTTTATCAGGGTCCAAAATTTATTTGCCATTGACACTACATTTACGAAAAAAAAGAAAAACTCGACCCAAGGGGAGAGAAATCCCGACAACACAAGTATACGCAGCTGGGGACCTTCTTTGTTCAAACTCCGGTTGGTAGCCCCACTCCAGAAGGTCTTTACCACCGTGCTAGACGCACGTTCTCGACACTACATTTACAACATTTGTCTAACCCCAATTCCAAAGTGCGTGTCGACAGAACCTCCATTAGTGCAAATACTAATTCTGGCTGTTTTCCTTCTTATTATTATTATGGGAACCTCCATGAAGAGATAGTACAATCGGATTTATCTTCAGAAATACTTACAAATGTGAGAGTAATCCACAAAATAAAACTTTTATAAATTGGGAGTAGTTTTTTTTAGAAAAGGAGGAGGACCCCGGCCTCTGCATCTGGGTGATGCATACGGCCACTTTATTAATTATTTTCACAAGACCTTACAAAGTCATACAACAGTAAGACTAAAGCCACCGTCTAAGCAACAAATGTCGCTACTCCTATCCAATTGATGAAGGGGCGCTGATAGTCTGGGCCTAATATCAAACAGACATCGCAGCAAAACCTAAACATCTAAGACCTGAGGTCCCAACCAGGACGCCTGCCGGATATGGGGCACCTATCAGTCCGGCGCACTCCCACTAGTAGAAAACAGGGCTATGGTCACGGGGCACTTTTCACATTAGTCCCGGTTCAGTCACGAACCGGGACTAATGTGAGCATTTATCCCGGTTCGTACGACTAAGGCATTAGTCCCGGTTCACCTGGGCCCTTTAGTCCCGGTT